CTCTTTCCCAAATGTTCATCGTATGGCTCATCAACTTTATCCCTCTGTAGTTGTTACAACTCTGTACATCACCCTTCTTATGAATTGGCACCAGAACACTTTTCCTCCACTCATCAGGCATTTTGTCAGTCTCTAAAATTCTGTTAAACAACCCAGTCAGGAAATCTACCGTCACTTCTCCTAAACACTTCCATACTTCCACTGGTATGTCATCAGGGCCAACTGACTTTCCACTCTTCATCCTCTTCAGGGCTTTTCTAACTTCATCCTTTCTAACCTGATCTACATTCTTCCTACTAGTCTCTGGTTGCTCATTCCTAAGTTCCCTTTTACTAAGTTCCTCTTTTTCTTCTCATTCAACAACTCCTCAAAGTATTCCTTCCATCTTCTCAGCACACTTTCCTCACTTGTGATTACATTCCTATTTCTGTCTTTAATCAACCTCACCTGCTGCACATCCTTCCCAGCTTGATTTTCTTGGCCATGTAATTTACTACCTTCTCTTTAATGGTCCTTCACGTCAATGTAGAAAAGAAAAGTATCTCCAGTACCATAGCAACACCACACATCATGGTTGTTGGTTACCGCATGTCAAAATTAAGAGTATTGTTTCCTTATGTGGTCTTGTGTAATCTGTCTTTGTTTTACATTGGAAATTAACACTAAACACATCCTTCAGCAGATGTTTTTATAGGCTTACGCTACATACTGTACATCGTATTAACACAAGAAGAAACGCTACAATATTTATGACTGTATTAGACACTACATATATAATTCACCTTTGATTCAATTTAAGTTCATAATCACGGTATATAGATGGGGGAAGAGGAGAGGTGAGGGGTGTGAATCTAAAAATGTGAAACTATTTAATCTTGAGTGCAAGACAAGGGTTTTCTACTTTACCACAGTACCTGACCAAGGAGCAAAATATAACTTTTGAAAGAAATCATGATTTGCCAAATCAAAAACCTTAAAGGAAAAATGTTCTATGGCATTATTTTCGTATTTCGCATAAATAAAGCTGCAGCTTAGGTTCAAATGTTCATGTAAATACCCCAAAAACTTGTATTACAATTTGTATATTAAATTTAAAAAATAGCACTGAAAGGCTGATAATGCAACGACTGAACTTAATGATAGTGTGGGACTTGCACAATGTGGGGCTTTATTTCCATAAAACACCGCAAACACCCAAGACTTCATAAATTAACAGAACACATTGAATCCATTGTGCTTTTTTACTTTGGTGGCCACGTTAATTTCCTATGTACATTTAACTTCAATCACAGTATATATTCAAAAACATCTAACATGCTAATCTTTAAAAAAGCATTCATCTTGTAACAGTCATATTTCGCAGAAGGTGTAACTAACAGAAAAACTGACATTACAATTACATGTCTGGGCCTAAAATACAAAAATATTCAGTTTTGTGTCAAACATTCTAACAAAAACAAGCCTTCAAATGCATCTGAAGCTTCAGATGGAGTGTAATTAAAATCTGATTTGTAACTACTTCTTTAAGAACATGTCCAGTTAAATTGCATGTGTCTATTTTAGCAGAGAAAATCTATGTGTGTACTATTGGTAATAAATAACTACCGACAGCCTTCGACAGTGTTCTTAAAGGTCACCTGCGTTCTGGACCCTGCAGGCTACAGCTGTGATCAGAGCTGCTCCCTTCCCGCTTCCATCCTCTGACTTGTAGAAAGTCACCTGACACTGTGGTGCCAGATCTTCTACTGTTTCTCTTATGACGTTGGAGAAGCTTAAAAAGTGATAAAGAGCAGAGGAGAAAAAGGGAGTTAAGTGTTAAGTACAGTACCCCCCATGTTTTTTAACAAACCCATCATATAGAGTAGAAATGTGAACAAGCACCTGCTTGGATAAATCATTTTTTTCCCCTTGAAACAAATCAGTTATTACTGTGGTTGCCAAGGCACCTGTTTCCCAGTACACTTAAACCAGAGGAGAGGATAAAAATAAAAACCAGTATAGGGTTGTTCTCATGTTGCAAGCCAACAAATATGAAAGATACATTCAAGTATATTTGCTCAAGATCCATTCGGTGCTGCAGATTAGTGCCAATTTTTCCTTAGTGATCACAAAGTGGGAGCTGCAGAGTTAAATGACAGTGACGTTGCTGTGTTCACTAAAACTAAAAGAAGAGAAAGAATTAAAGGAGAAACCACACAATATTGTAACCCTCGCTGCAGTACCCCCACTAGCCCCATGTGGGGAGAAGGCACTGAAATTTAGATAGGTGTTATCTGTTGTTGGTCATTTAAATTTGTTTAAGACCTTAACAAGAAATGAAATCTCCAAAAAATGGTTTATTTTGTTTGAGACAAACATTTCCACACTTCCAAGAATACCTGTCATGTGATGTCCATACATACAGTAAGTTTACTCACTGTGGATGTGTCTTGTAAAGTGTTCCGTCCACCCCCACGGTAACGGAGAACTGATTCAAGTTCCGATTTTGTCGTATCTTGTCGACCACTGCGGCTAGACCGGCGCCACAGAGCTGCGCTGCACGACGTGCCACCACGCTGCACACCTCCTTCACGATGACACTGTCATCGCAGGTGGAGGTGGTAAGACCGAGATGCTGCAAAATGGAGCGCACCTGACGCATGGCCAAACGGTCTCTGTGGGACACAGGGAGTTCAACAAGGGTTAGCACTGTACCAAAAATATAAAAATATGTCAGGTTTCTAAAACAATTTAGCAACATGAATGTTCCAAAAAGAAAACAACAATTAGGGAAACCAGAATAACTGAATAATTCCAGTGTTGTTTGTTTCTGCAGTAATGTAGACCACTTCCCATATAATCTCCACCCCCTTTCATTTTCCAGTAAATATGACAGAAGATCAGAGCTCCTGCGCTGCGGCTCACCAGCTTTTACATTTAAACATCTGATTCAGATGTTTCAATGATGTCAGATTTTATTGATCCCATTAAGAAAATGTTGGTACTACAGTTACACCTGCAGGTATGTTTTAATAACAATTATAGAAATATAATAGAGCATCACCCTTTCTCCCTCCCCGCACACACTTAGATCACTTATCAACAAAAGCAACACTGGTGTGTACAACTGCACACCACAATTCATCAACAATATACTGCGAATGAATGTTAAGGCAATTTCTGGTGTGAGCTCACCATGTAAAAGCTCATGTAAAAGCTTATTAGAAGATAAAGACAAGATAAAGATAAGTGAGCAGAGACTTGGAGAGTTGTCTATTTCCCCTGTGATGACCCCTAGTCCATTACGTTTTAATAATTCATAACAAAATAATAATAATAATAAAAAGATATAACATATTTATAATGTTTAATATAAATGTATCTTCACACCCTTTTCATAGCGCACTGTGAGTATTCAAAGTATTAAAAAAGGCTAATGATACAGTGGGGGAATTAATTAACTCAGACATGTTATTAGGGCAATTAGGAGAAACAGTTAATAACAAAGGGGGGGCAAACAAGTCCTTTCTCTTTGACAGATGTCACTTTACTCTGTTTAAACATATTGAATATCATATTATAAATACCATTATTAAAGAAACATATTTCCAATACCATAAACCAAGTCTCTTGGTCTCCTGTCTTGAGGGAAAAATGTGAAAAGTTTCTTTTTTTTTTTTTTCCTTCATTATAATGTTTTCATGCTGTGTCTTGACACGGTCAGAACCCACAACTGGAAAGAGACTGTGAAAAGCATCTATAAAGTACAGCACAAAAGAATCTACAATTAAAGCCAGCATTGTTGAGATCAACACGGTTTTCACATTTTTCCTTGTTATGGAAATAATGACATGGGTTTTATGTAAAGAACCGTGTGATATGATAATAAAATCTTTAACATGATCACTGTATAACCACTATTACATAATGATGATGATAACAGTTACAGTATAGATCACAGTCACTATATATATATATATATATATACACACACAGTGAGTACAGAAAGTATTCAGAACCCTTTAAATTTTTCACTCTTTCGTTCATTGCAGCCATTTGCTAAAATCAAAAAAGTTCATTTTATTTCTCATTAATGTACACTCAGCACCCCATCTTCACAGAAAAAACAGAAATGTAGATTTTTTTGCAAATGTATTAAAAAAGAAAACCTGAAATATCACATGGTCATAAGTATTCAGACCCTTTGCTCAGTATTGAGTAGAAGCACCCTTTTAGCTAGTACAGCCATGAGTCTTCTTGGGAATGATGCAACAAGTTTTTCACACCTGGATTTGGGGATCCTCTACCATTCTTCCTTGCCGATCCCCTCCAGTTCCGTCAGGTTGGATGGTGAATGTTGGTGGACAGCCATTTTCAGGTCTCTCCAGAGATGCTCATTTGGGGTTAGGTCAGGGCTCTGGCTGGGCCAGTCAAGAATGGTCACAGAGTTGTTCCAAAGGCACTCCTTTGTTATTTTAGCTGTGTGCTTAGGGTCATTGTCTTGTTGGAAGGTGAACCTTCAACCCAGTCTGAGGTCCTGAGCACTCTGGAAGAGGTTTTCTTCCAGGATATCTCTGTACTTG